GAGGCCCCCTTAACCAGGTGATTTAGAAGACCACCTTAACCAGGTGATTAGGGAGACCTGGGTTGTAGAATGAAGTCAGCCATGTGAACAGCTGGGAGGGGCCAATCTGGGCAGAGAAACCAGCAAGTGCAAAGGCCCTGAGGCAGGAAAAGGATGACAGTGTTCAGAACTCCAAAGGGGAGTGTAGTCAGTAAGCAGAGAGGAGCCTGGAAAGCAAAGCCAAGCCTTTTCCAGCCCAGGATTTGTACACTAAGTGGAATGATGTTTCCTTTCAGGGTCCCACAATAGTCACGTGCCATGGGTACCACTGGCCCTGTTTTATAGTTGATGGAAGTGAGGCTCACAGAGGGAAGAGTCTTGCCCAAGATCGCAGAGCCAGAAAGCACTAAGAACTGGAGTTCAGACTCAGTTTCTACAATTCTGACCCTGTGCTGTTTCCTCTAAGTGCTAACATTTCTCAGACTCCTTCGGGATGCCTGGCACTGTTCTAAGCTCTACACATACACCATTTTTCTTAATCTTCCCAGTTGCCTTATAGCACAGATTCTGTTATTACTCCTCATTTTACAGGTGGGGAAACTGAGGCACAGAGTACATAAGGAACTTGCCTAAGGTCGCATGGCTGTGGTGTAGAATTTGAAGCCAGACAGTTGCTCTCCAAAGCCCAGCACAGGACTTCTCCACACTCTAGTAGAACCGTCTAGAAAATTATTCTCCAGGGGCAGAGCCCTAACCTGGGCCCTGCCCCGCTCCAGCCTCAGCCCTTACTCAGCCCCTTGTAAATCCAAAAAGTCTCCTGCTGTGTTCCCACCAGACCAGGGGAACAACCCAGGACATTTTCTCAGTATCCTGGTGGCCCAGGTGTCAGAAGGGTGGTGGTAGCAGCTGGGCCTCGTCCCAGTGAACTGCCTTCAGTTTAATGCTAATGGCCACACACCGCCCTTGAGACAGCCCAGACGTTTTGCAAGCCTGACATGTTCCTCCTTAAGTATTTTTCAAACACAAACACACAGAACGCTCGCACACTGTCTCAGTGTGCTTCCTATCAACCTCTTTTTTTCCAGTTGCTGCAGAGGAGGAATAAACTCTCAGACTATGCTGAGCATTTGAGGGTGGAACTTATTCGTGGAACTTAAATTTTCAGAAGGGAATGAAGACAAAGGCAGTGGCTGAGTCTTAGATTTGAAAGCGCCGGCTTGAGAGACATCAGCCCGTGTTTAGAAGCTGAGATGAGTCTTTTCTCTCTCTCTAAAAATTAAAAATCACGTATCTGTAGGAGCCACAAGGACCTTAGTTTAGTATGGTCCGGCCCATCATTTTACAGATGAGTAAACGGAGGCATGCAGAAAGGGGGGCTTGCAAACGGTCACAGAGCAAGCATCTGATAGACCCAGACACTCCCCACACCCTCCGTCTTCTTGCTAATGGTATGAACCTTCCACAAGACCCCGGTCTGAGATCTGTGTCTGTTTCGATAATGCTGTCCCTGCACTGAATGTACAATAAACGTAAAAGAGAGGAGTCCTCAGCACCCCTTCAGCCTTTGCATCCTTGTTTCTTTTCTTTTTTTAAGATCAAACGAAAACAAAAACTCACTGCCATGCTTTCGAGTCGGGATCCGACTCATAGCGACCCCTCCTTGGATTTCCGAGGCAGTATCACTACAGAAGTAGATTGTGGCTGGGGTGGGGGTGGGGGTGTTGAACCGCCAGCCTTCTGGTTAGCAGTCAAATGGCTTAGGCACTGGGCCAGCAGAGCTCCATTTTTTTATTATTATTATTATTTTTTTTAAAGATCACTCAGGGCTTTTTTATAGCTGAAATATATTTCTTGTGGGTTTGAGTTTTTTGTTTCTGTTTTGGCTCTCTTCTGCTACTATAATACTATTCACAAAAATGACCACAAAGATGGAAAGGGGAAGGAAAAATTACAGTCTTGAAGAGTGGCTTTAGAGCTCTGGGCCTGGGCTGGAGTTGGTCCTGGCTATGTGCTCCATGAACACCAGTGGGACCTGGGACAAGGTGCTTGGCTTCTCTGTGCCTTGGGGTCCCCACCTGTGCAACGGGCAGTATAGCGAGAGGAGCAAGCTCATAAGGCTGTTGGAAGCACTACACGGAGTAATTCGTGTACCTGTTCGATGTGGTCTCTAAAGGCTGGATTTTTTTTTTTTTTTTTTTATTGCTGTTAATAGCTACCTCTTATTTTTTATTGTTCCTACCTGTTAGTCCAGCATGGTGGTTAAAACCTGGCCCTCTGAACCAGGCTGAGTTAATATCCCAGCTCTGCCTCATACCACCTTGTGCCTTGAGCCCACTTACTCCTCAGTACTTCCATTTCTTCCCCAGTCAAATGGAGATACTGTTGGTACCAACATGGGGAGCTGAGAACATTAAAGAGTTCATGTACGTGCAGTGCTTAGAGCACACACTAAGTGCTCTGCAACTGTCAGTTATTGTCATCATCATGCTGATTGCAGGTTTGATGGTCTGTTTTTCCAAGTTCACTTCTATTTCCTGAACTCTCCATCTTACTAAGTAGCCATGGTAAGACAAGAGAAGAATACCAGTCTGAAACCACTGAACCATCTACTTCAACATAAACCGCTCTTCCGATGAACTCTGTACCATAGGGGGATTTTTTTTTAAAGTAGGGAAGTCTTTGGTTGGTGTAAATGGTTAATGTACTCGACTGGTAACTGAAAGGTTGGCGTTTCAAGTCCACCCAGAGGTACCTTGGAAGAAAGCCCTGGTGATCTGCTTCTGAAATATCAGCCACTGAAAACCCTATGGACAGGACCTTAGTCTCGGGGGACATCATGCTCAGTTGACACAGCATAGTACGTAAAAATCCTGTTCTACAACCTACTATGGTGAGCAGTGACTGGGGTCTTCAAAGCTTTCGAGCAGCCATCTAAGATAGAACTATTGGTCTCTTTCATCTGGAGCAAAGAGGAGTAAAGAAAATCAAAGTCATATGGAAACAATTAGTCCAAGGGTCTGATAGACCATGGGAACCTCAGCCTTCATGACCCTGAGACCAGGAGAACTAGATGGTGCCCACCTACCAATGCCAACCGCTCAGAAAGGGACCTAAATTGGAGATCCTGGATAGAGTGGGAGGAAAATTGTGGAATAAAATCCAAAAACACAAAAATGACCAGAATTACTGGTCAGATAAAGGCTGGTAGGAC